CGTAGCCGGCCCCCGGTTCTCTGGGCCACGCTCCCCGCGCGCGCCCTTCCACGTTCGCACGGAAGCACCGATAACTGTTCCTCAAGTCAACTTTCCCAACAGCTTCAACCCAGGCCACATCTCCCTGTGCCGCCAGCAAGAACGCGATGTCAGACAGTCCAGACATCACGTATGGTATCTTCCCTACTACTGCTCCCTGTATCAACAGGGCTTATTACCCCTGCAGAGGGAAAAAAAAAAGTTTAACTGATGCTACACATTATATTGTTGACAAGCCCATACCAAGTAATATAATTTTCTCCTCGATGTTTCCAAATAATGTAATTATTTTTCCAGTAGTTTTCCAGAACATGAAGTTAAGCTGACAGATCGCCTTGCTTCATCTTCCTCCCTTTCACAACACTTCATCTTATTGAAGACCTTTGTTTTAGTAAGTCCTGTCCGTGTTCCAGCGTTCTTCAGACCACCCACAACACTCATTTTTCGGCAGGCGTTACAGAGAAGCGGCAGGCAAGCTGACCTTAAAAATATTTACATGAGAAAATACAACTTACCGATTTTCTGATGAAAGATCTTGTCAAAGGTTAATTCACCCCTTTCCTCAAGGTACTTCTGCATAACACTGCGGATACTGAAAGAAAAAAAGGAGGAGTTACTTGCAACTGCTGCTTTTAAACCAGACTTTTAACCCACTTTGGGGAAAAGGATCGCTAAAACGAAACATCAACGTAAAAGACTCATGGAAAATGAGATGCCACTGCCCGTCTACCGCATCAGCTCGCGGCCCGAAGGGCAGCCTGCGGCTCCGTCTAAAGACCATGAGAGTTCGCTGGCCTGCAGCCATTAACGTCAACTGGCCCGCGGTCAAGGTACAGACACAGAGAGATCATGGAATCCACCGAATTCAACATCGCAAATTATTTGATGACAATTCAATCCATGAATACCTTTCCAGACATCGCCTTACTAGCCCAAAATTCTCCTTGCAGTCTCAATACGGTGATTTTTGGGGTTTTTTTTTGTTTGGTTGGTTTTTGGTTGTTTTTTTTTCCTAAAGGCTCTTCGAGTTTGAGGTGCACAAGAAATATCACTCTTCCCCACTGTAAATATTAACACTACCCAGTACAGAACATCAGTAGCGTTAGAACCTATTCAGTGGAAGACACTTCAAGTTTAACGTACCAATGGCCTACCCCACACAGCGTGACGCTGCTGGAGCTCCCCTTCCAGAATCAATACTTACCTAATACGCTTTGAAAATAGCGCAACTGAGCATAAATTGGGTAAAGAAGCCATCAGTGCTTGCACATAGTTCCCCATCACCGCATGCCACTACGGAAGCAGGAGCACAACCGCCAGAAGCAGAGCTCCCAGGCTTCCCCTGGGTTTGCCCAGCGGGGTTTTCATCCCAGTTAGGTATTCGCGGGTGGAATGGAAGGGCAGTACGGGGCTGCCCCTGGGAGCTGGAGCACCAAACGCCGGGTGTTCTTCCCCAAAAAGAGAGAAAGGAGACTACAGGCAGAAGCCCACAAGCAGTATCAGCTGGAGCCCTGGACCGGCCGTGCCTCGGGCGAGCGGAGCCCTGGGGTCACAGCTCTTCCCAGGGGACATTCGGGTCATTCCTGCATCAGGTTTTAGCTTGCACCATGTAAAATACATGGACAAATCAATCAAAGCTACATCAGGCTCTTAACACCGCAACTGCCATATATCATTTAGAAAATGAGCCAACATAAGCTCCATTAGGCCCCCAGCTTGGCTGCAGTGCACTTAACATCTACTTTGCCTAATTTATAATGTCACAATCACTCATTTAAACCACATTAACAAAGATTTCCTTTATTTGTCAAGTAACCTCAATATTCATTTTAATATAATGCCTATAAAAATTTCATACGGGCAACAATACAAGTACATGAATTTTAAAATCAATGTAGCCCAGCAGTGCTGTGCCTTGGTAAAACAACCGTGCTGCCAGAGCAGGAAGTCAAAATTCCACCAGTCCTTTTCTGTTTCCACTTTTTAAATCGATTATTTTTCACATGTAACTATTTACTTTTGTAAAAATAATACCCAGTACAAAGTACTCCTGCCCTGAACAAGACTGTTGAATATCACTCGTGTTCTGCAGGAGTAAGACCGAGCACCCAATCCTTGTAAAAGGCGGACTCTGAGCTACGTCACGGCAAGAATAAAAATGAAAAAACCTGCTTCTGAAATGCAGCAGAACAGGCCAGTTCTCATGGACAGATTTTAACGTTTTCTGGAGAGGAAAAATTAGATTACTGTGGTTCTTTCTCATCCATTTTTTCTCCAAACCCTCTCCATTAACACATATTTGTGCAGTTTTGGGTCATGGCAAGCAGCAGAGCCCTGCCCGAAAAAGCTGCAGACCTCACAGACAGTCCTGCGAGGGGCTGGGACCTCCCCTCCCGCGTGCTTACCAGGACCCCGTTACTAGAGCTCCTGAATTATAATAAATATTAAACATAGAATCATAGAACCATAGAATCATTGGGTTGGGAAAGCCCTTTAAGCTCCCCCAGCCCAACCGTTCCCCTACCCCTGCCATCCCACCCCCAAACCCTGGCCCTCAGCACCGCCTCTGCCCGGCTGTTAAATCCCCCCAGGGCTGGGGACTCGACCCCTTCCCTGGGCAGCCCCTTCCAGCCCCTGACAGCCCCAAGGGGAAGGAATTGTTCCCCATGGCCAACCTCACCCTGCCCTGGCACAACTTGAGGCCATTTCCTCTCGTCCTTCCATCGCCTTTGAGGGAGGAAAGTATTCGCACTCCTCCTCAAACGAGGACCTGAGGCGTGAAGCCTGAATGACTTGACCAGAGAAAAGCCTATCGTGAAAGCCAAGGAATTAACTTGAAGAACCTAAACCCCACTCTAGGCAATTACCCTGTGAAGAGTTTTTATGCACATCTCAAAGCCCCCCACGGAGCACAGACCTACGAACCCTGCGATGCAAAGCGAGAACTCCGGCGGCAAACCACCACGCCACGTTAAACGAGAGCTGGGAGGGCTGAGCGCTGCTCATCAGGCTTCAAACTATAAATTATTCAGTGATGAACCTGCTAGTCTTTCTATTTCTTCATTAAACACTGTGTCTACTCTCTGTGTATTTACAACCGAAACGAAATACTGATTTCGAATGAAGAGGAAGCAGTAAATAGAGATCACGTTCTCTACGCGGGAAAAGCAAGGCAGTAAAATAAAATTTATCGTCCGATTGGCAGAACTGCAAAATTTGGCCGCCTGTTCTATGGGTAGATGTTAAAAAAAATATAGATGCGAGCTTAGCATGTTTAAAACAGTGACTGTAAAACTTAATTCTTCTCATCCATCCATAAAGCGTTAGTGCATCGGTGGCAGAATACCTCCAGCCGTACGGACACCGTCGCATACTGGTGAGCATGGGCAGTAAAATCCGCCCAGCTTCCCTGGTGGCACGTGGCCACCGAGCAGAGCGGGCTGGCCAGCAGGACCAGGGCATGGCCAGAGGGACACAGCAACCTTCAGCCCAGGAGGGTTTAGGGCTCCTTCCCTCCACATCCCCCCCCGCCAGCCCCCTCCTGAGAGACCTTCCCTCCACAGACCCCCCCCCGTCACAGGAGGACCACTTGTGAACAAACGTGGCGAGCATCCCCAAAGACCACCAACGTCCCTCTCCTCTGCCTCCTGGCTGACCCGAGCCCATCAGCGCTGCCCATCACCGCGCCTGCGCTTGGAGCACTCTTGGGCAATGTCCCATTCCCGCTGACCGCTAGACCATTAGTAACATAATAAGCCTTTTTAATAACGATGACATCAAGAAAGCTTTCCTTTGCTCTAACAAGTGCACTGCAAGAAATCGCATAAACATCTCTTAGTCTAGACAAGGGGAGAAGATAATGAAAAATTTAACGTGTGACTGAAGCGTCCAGGAAAACGCTCCGATTGTGTAACGAACAAATCTCTCCAACGCTTCTCCTCCTCTCCCCTGACATCCAGTACTTCTGGTCTGATGGATAACGCGTCAAAGGAACAAAACGTTTTTGCAGCTACAGAATCTGAACAAATCTGCAAAATGATCAGAGGCTACGGGAGCCCACGCTGCATTCCAGCTTCTAAACAACAGACTTTCCCCCTTCGAAATCATTTTGCCTTACCCATAGGAATAAATAGGGGTAAATTACACAGAGTGGATTACAACTACCCAGAATAAGCACCTTCTAATTCTCGCATGGAAGTTAAAGGTAAAAATCCTACCAAGGTCAAAAGAAATGAAGCAGAATCCTTCAGAAGGATGGAAAAATTTAAAATGGAGCCTAGCACATTCCACCAACGGGGGGAAGGTTCCCTCTCTGCCTTTGTATACCGAATCATTAGTTGCCCTACACACAAACAATCTGGGATTAAAAGCTGCATTTCCCAGGAAAGTAGCCATTTCTGAAAAGCTTTCCATATCCAAATACGCTTTCAGCACAAACACCGCGCTAATGCGAGGCGTGGACTTTCTGCACGAGTTCATCTCGGTTCACAGCAGCATCTACCTGAAGAGCAACGCTCAAACGAAGCAGGACAAAAGCAGGGAGACTTCAGAAACAAAAGCATATCCAACCGTATTGCCGCAAAACCTTTTGTTTGTGTATTTTTTTATTTCAGAGAGGAAGAAAACAGCAAACAACAAACCTTTCAGAAACGCTCCGTCTGCTGTCCACATACCACAAGTCAGCTGAACAGGACGAGCATATTTAGGGGAAAAATCAAAAGTCAGGCTTAAAATCTTGTGAGAAACACAACTCGGACTCTGGAGACCTCCTCGCTGGTTTAACTGGGACCAAATTTAGGCGGGTACACGGAGCACGGTGCAGCCCTTTGCCCCATGACCAGGCAGGGAGCTGCACCAGCCCCAGAGCCAGGCACGCAGCAGCACCCACGCCGAGATCGGGCAGAGAGCACCAACGTAGCAGTGAGACAGTAAAGAAGTTTTGGGAGAGTTTTCTTTTTTTGTTTTTTTTAAATCACAAATGAAACCAGCCTCTCGATGCCCGGCAATGCCAACGGCACCCAGGTAGCACCTCACGCCGATGGCGAGGGCAGCAGGGTGCCGCAGCACGGACGCGGGTGCATCCCCTGCAGCCCCGCGGGAGACGCTGCCCTTAAAGACAGGGCTGACCAAAACCACCGGGCTCCCAAAGCGGCTCGGAGCGCGCTGCCTGCCCAGACACGGGCAGAAAGATGACTGTCTGCCTCGGCATCAAGCCATGAACGTCGCGAGGTCGCTCTAACCTGGTCACCTCCCCAAAAAAGGTGTTTATGGGAAGCGTGAGCTGAAGAATCTGTTAAACGGGGTCTTAAGCCGCATCTTGAAGCTCTGGTGACTATAGCCAGCATCCTGGTCTTTCAGACTTGATCAAAGAAATCCTTCAAGGTTAAAATACGTTCTGTAATTAAGAAGCTCTCGCTGCCTACGGGCACGTGTGGTGGCACGCAGTTTGACAGGACACAGATAACAGTCGCAGCACCAAGGTCGGTACCGGCGGTGGGGGTTGGACTAGATGACCACTAGTGGTCCCTTCCAACCCTAAACATTCTATGATTCTATGAAAATGCCTACCTGAAAGCACATCTTCTGAAA